TACCTCTCTCTTTTAGATCCGTTGATTCCACGGCCTTCTCCTCTCTCTCTCTCTCTCTCTCTCTCTCTCTCTCTCTCTCTCTCTCTCTCTCTCTCTCTCTCTCTCTCTCTCTCTCTCCTCTCTCTCCTCTCTCTCTCTCTCTCTCTCTCTCTCTCTCTCTCTCTTCTCTCTCTCCTCTCTCTCCCTCTCTCTCGCCTCTCTCTCTCTCCCTCTCTCTCGCCTCTCTCTCTCTCCCTCTATCTCTCTCTCTCTTCTCTCTCCGCCTCTCTCTCTCTCTCTCTCTCCTCTCTCCTTTCTCTCTCTCTCTCTTCTTCTCTCTCTCTCTCTCTCTCTCTCTCTCTCTCTCTCTCTCTCTCTCTCTCTCTCTCTCTCTCTCTCTCTCTCTCTTTATCTATATTTTTGTGTATGTGTATCATTCTGCCCTTCTTTCTCTCCCTGTCTATATTTATCCATTGCTTCTTCTTGTCTGTACAAGGGACAGAAGAGGTAATATATTTCGTCTGCCTCTTCGTAAACAGTTATTAGACTCGCTTAGCTGCTAGAGCCGAATTTACTTTCCAAAGCATAGTTTATTTATGGGAAGGTGAATGTATTCTTCTCAAGCAACTGCCTAGATATTTTGTAGCAAGCTTCAGTAATGACTCTTTTTCTATTCTATTCTGCCTTTGTGTTGCTATATGTTTACTTGATTCGTTTTTTTTTTATGTACTGGTTTCTCCTCGTTTCATTTCGCTATTATTTCGTTATTATTATTTACATTAATTTTCCTTTATCATCTTTGGATTTTTTTTCTTGTTTGATCACTTTCTCGTTTTTTTCTTATTCCCTTTTTTTTTATATTACATTCATCCTCGTTTTCTTTGTTATTTTATTCCTCTCTATTTCATTGCCTCTTGTTTTTCTTTTGTTATTCATTTACTTTTCTTCGAATAGCTTTCCTTCTCGGTTGAATTCATATATTTTTTATCTCTTTCTTTCTCGTTTTCTTATGAATTTCCTTGTTTGTATCACATTCCTTCTCGTTTTCATTTGTTATTCCCACACTGCCCTTGGCATCATTTTCGTTCACTTCTCCCTATGTGTTACTTCTGTCACTCTCCTTCTCATTTTCTTTCGTTACCCCTTTGATCTTATTTGTATCGTTTTCCTTTCCGTTTTCTGTCGTTTATTCCCTGGTTTTCTTTAACTCTCTCCGTTTTCTATTCGTTATTCCCCTTTTCTTTATTTCTCGAAGTATCCCCTTCACCACCTGTCGCCACGACGTTGTTCTTTCCTTTCTCCAGCCAAGTCACACTCGCACACTCGACCCCTTCACAAGTATGACTCGGCAGAACCGTTTTCTAGCCTACGTCCTCGAGCAGACCCACGCAGCCTCACGAAGTACCTTGTAACCATGACTCTTTTAAATGCGTGTTGCTTAGCTCCTCATGGCGAAGGATTGCCAGCTTTACAAGGCCGTGTGTCATGTGTCAACTGAAGGTCGTCTCTTGTGGCTTGTCATCGACGCAATGTCACGTGTCCTCTTGAAGAGAGTTTGTTATGGATTGGAAAGTCGGGGAAGAATATGATAGTCGCTGTAATAAGTAATAATTCAAAGAGAATGACAGTTTAGTATGTTATCCATATATTACAAGTGTACATGTATGGACACAAACATCCATAAATACACACACACACGCAAAATTGTGTGCGTGTGTGTTTGTGTGGTAATATATACATACAGACTTATATACATTCATACCTATGAATATATACACACAAACATATATACATATGGGTGGATCTACCCCTTTCACCTCGATCATTTCATTTCATCATTTCCTTTCTGAACCTCCCTTGCCAACGGAGACTGACCCCCTCCCCCTCTCCCCCCCAGGCCCAGCAGAGCTCCCTCCACCGCCGCCATGCTGAGACAACTTGCCGTCATCTCCCTTGTTTCAATCGGTAAGCGAGACCTTGCAATGTATTTTTTCTCTATTTAATCAAAGGTTAGAATGATAGTGAGATGAATGGCGATGATGAGGAATGTGGTAATAAAGCAGTGGGAAAATATACGATAATCATTGGTTATTCTGACGTGATTTTCATTATTATCACCGACTAATTTTGGATATAATCACTAATAGTTATTTTTAAAAAGGTTTATGATGGTATTGGTGATGGTGATTGTTCTGGAAGTAATAGAGATTATAATAATGATAATAATATCAATAGTAAAAGCGGCAGCGATGTCATTAAATAAAATATCATAAAATAAATGATATTATTGGATATGATTATAACAATAGTGAAAATTAAGGATAATATCAATAAGGATAACCGTATTGGTTGTAATCATAGTTATGATACTCGTTATTACAGTCATACGAATACTACTATGATAATTACTAGTACTGCTGCTACTACTACTGCTACTACTAATAATACTGATAGTAATGATAATAATCATAGTAATGGTAATAATAGTGATATTGATGATTATGATGATGATGATGATAAAAATAATAATAATAATAATGATAATAATAATAATTATTATTATAAAGACAACAACAATAATAATAAAAACACTGATAATGATAATAATAGTAATAATGATAATAATAATAATAATTAATATATATAATAATGATAATAATAATAATAATAATAATAATAATAATAATATAATAATAATAATATAATAATATAATAATATAATATATAATAATAATAATAATAATGTAGTTAATGAATAATAATGATATAAATAATGATAATAACATTCATAATAATTTACTGTTTTTCTTTTTTCTTTTTTAGCTTGTTCCGATGCAAATAATTTTATTTATACTATTTAGAGATATGTGATATGTATTACTAGTTATCCAAAATTGTTATTGGTATATATGGGTTCTAAATCTAAGAGATATAATGTTTTAAACGTGAAGCTATTATAATGTTTCTAAATCTAAAGAGGTGTAATTAGTTTCAAATGTGACTAATTTTAGCATTATAAATCTGATTTTTTTACATGAATTGAATTGGATTAGTTTTAAAGCCGAAATGGTTTAGATGAGAAATAGTCTAGACTAGTTTTTTAAATCTGAAATGGATGAGTTCTAACGTGATTTTGAAGAGTTCTAAAGCCAAAGAGATGTTGATAAGTCCTAACTCTCCCCTTCAGGTATAGCGCGCTGGCCCCACTCACGCGAGACTCACGGAACGGGACGAGACGCAGCGGAATGCTCGGAATGGACCGGACGAGACGTGGACAAGCTGGGACGGAACGGAACGACCTTAGCGCCATTTTAGCTGGACAGACCACCATTGACTCCCACGAGAGAGGACTATTCCTATTACAAAAGCAGATATATATAAAAGACACGTGCAACAATACGTTGATATACAAACACATGTACACACACACAGACACATGGACACACACACGCACGCACGCACGAACACAGACACACACACACACACACACATACATACATACACACACACACACACACACACAACACACACAACACAACATACACATTAATTCAAACATAAAAGAGCCCTGTTCCTTTGTGTTGATTTTTTATTCTTTATTCTATATATTCTTGCTTTGACCCTGCTGACAAGAATGACCGGGAGACCAAGTGCATGCAGTCACACTGAAATGTACTAACCCAAAATCACAGACAATCAGAATATTTAAAATCAGATCATTAACTATTCTGCAACGTTCACCATCGTCTAATCTTAAAGCTTAAAAAATGTCACAATCTGAAATGTTGTTGGACTTTCAGGCCATTCTTGAATTGTGCTTTAGGCTGCTGATGTCACATATAAAATCTAAACCCATAAACAATTTAAACCTGAATTCTGCATAAGAAGGTGATTTTCCATTTTTTTCCGGACCGAAGCTCACACTGTTTCCTTTTCTTTTTTTCAACAGCCGTGACCCTGGTGTACTCCATGCCATCCTTGCATCGTGTAAGTCTTTGTGAAAGCTATACCATAGCTTCCCGCGCCCATTCCTGTGTGTTATAAATAAGTCTTTTCAATAATATTGCAAAACTAAAGATTAACCTCTAGGCGGCCGAGACTTGGCTCTCAGCGCGAGATAAATGAGCATGCATAAACACCTAACACATAAACCGCAGGTGTAAACCGCACCTCCGACGCCGACACAACATCATCCCACCGACCAGAACCTTCCCGACTCTCCTGCCAACATCCTATTCACTTAAAACCCAGCAGACATGTGCACTTAATATCCAGACTGTTCGTGACTCGTAAACCCTAACCGCCTCCTTTCGTTCCCTTTAGTCCAAGCGGTGGGAGGAATTCCCCAATGTCACCTTCACGTTCGACTGCACGGACCGGCCCGTGGGCTTCTACGCCGACCAGGAGTTCAACTGCCAGCTCTTCCACATGTGTGACGAGGACGGCCGCCGCATCCCCTACATGTGCGCCAACGACACCGCCTTCAACCAGGAGTTCCGCATCTGCGACTGGCAGTACAACTTCGACTGCTCTCAGGCCCAAAACTGGTAAGGCTGCAGTGCGGGTTCTGAGAGAATTGTTCTTGGCGATAAATAGTCAGTTGCTGATGTGCTAAATGAGTGACACTCCCTAATCCGATCCGTTTCTTTGCCAGGTTCTACCTCAACGAACTGACCTACGTGACCGATCCTCCCAAGTTCTAAATGATCACCGGAGCGTTGTTTCCTCCCTTCTTGACTGTGATGACCCCGACGACCTGACATGTGCTGCCTGTAACCCAGGTTGAAGGACCGCACTGGACTCCCTTTGGACTTCTCGCGCAAGTTCTCTGGGAGTCTTAAGATCTCTGTTTTAAGAGTCCAAGAGAATAACGTAATTATGGAGTTGTACCTGGGTTAACTCAACACGTCACCTGAGGGTGTATTGAGGGGGTTCCCTCTCTTAGTTATTTTCCTTATTAGTGTCCCCTGGGTTACTGAGTGCCGGCACTCCGCCTGTACATAAGTGGCTCCCTGGCACTG